AAATCGACGATCTTCCTGGCTGGCATCTCGAACGCGCAACGTACCTCTATCATTAACAGATTCTCTCTTGAGAATGGGAACTTACCAGTTCGTTACCTTGGTTTACCTCTTATTGCTAAGAAAATGACAAAGGCGGATTACGCTCCTCTGGTGGAGAAGATAAAGACGTGCATTCGATCCTGGAAAATTTGCCACATCTCTTTTGCGGGTCGATTACAGCTTTTGGCATCAGTGATTTCTGGTATTCTGAATTTCTGGATGGCTGCTTTCCAACTCCCTAGCAGCTGTATAAAGGAAGTTGAGTCTCTCTGTAGTGCTTTCCTTTGGTCGGGTCCAATAGTCAATCCAAGGAAAGCAAAAGTCTCTTGGGAGGATGTTTGTAAGCCTAAAGTCGAGGGTGGCTTGGGATTACGATCTCTGCGTGAGGTGAATATGGTCTGCTCTCTCAAACTGGTATGGCGGTTTCTATTTAACATGCCTTCTTTGTGGGCCTCTTGGCTCAGGTGCCGCTACGTGAAGGGTAACTCTTTCTGGTCCTTACCTGAATCTCCCCCTCACAGCTCATGGATATGGCGGAGAATGTTGAAAATAAGGATAGTTGTGCAACGCTTTTACTATATGGAGGTCAATAATGGTGAACGTACCTCTTTCTGGTTGGATAGATGGAGTTCATTGGGGAGGATTTTCGACATTACTGGCTCTCAAGGTTTCATCAGACTCGGCATTCCCAGTCATTACTCCCTGGATTTGGTCTGGAGAAGACGCAGACGAAAGTGCCATCGTTGTGATCGGCTAACTGATATTGAACGCGCCATAGAGACAGCAAAGGGCTCCCGTAGACCTCGAGCTGATCAATCACTTTGGCAAGGGAAGAATGACATTTTTGGTCCGAATTTTCGACTAAGGCAACATGGAACAACATCAGAACAGCTTTACCGCGCAAAGCTTGGAGCTATTTGGTGTGGTTTCAGAATGCCACACCGAAGTATGCATTCATTACTTGGCTGGCTATGCGCAAAAGACTCTCGACTGGTGAATGTATGACAGCCTAGGGTTCAGGTACAAATACGACTTGTGTCTTCTGCTCCAATCCTTGCGAAACTCGGGAACACCTATTCTTCGAGTATGGATTCTGTTCACAGATATGGAAGCTTTAGTCCAAGGGTTGCTCACCTCGAACTTCTCGACATCGTGGGATGAGATTGTTACTGTATTCACTTCGCAGTTACTGAACAGAACAGAACTTTTTATTTCTCGATACACATTCCAAGCGACTTTAGCTCTGCTTTGGAAGGAGAGGAATGCTTGTCGACATGGAGAGGTTCTAATGCCAGCTGCTACTTTGATTGCCATTCTGGATAAAACTGTCCGCAACCGGTTAAGCTCTCTGCGACTTATAGGAGACCAACAATATGATGAAGGACTCGTTATCTGGTTCGGCACCCGCCGCTGAACAACGCCTGGAAACTACTACTTCTGCAATAGCTTTAATGCCCTGTTTTTAGATTGTATACATATTTCTTTCCATTTCTTTCCTATCGGATAGCAATTGTAAATAAAACTGTCTTTATTTAAAATAAATTTAACTCTTTTTTTTCAAAAAAAAACTTAATCCACAGGTATTTGTGTGTTGAGGACTTCTAACTGATGCTAAATACAATCGTAGACCTAATCAGATAAAAGGGTGGGGGTGTTTGGTTTGTCACTAAATCCTACTAAACAGAGAATTAAAAAGATTGAAATAAAATCGGTTCAAAACTATATGAAAAACGGCGCTGGGATTAGGATTCATCTTTAGGGTTCATATTCTATGACACAGGGAATTTAGGTAAGGATTTCTATGATTCTGAAACTAAAATAGATGTCAGTCGAACATGGGATCCCCTTTGATGGTCCCTTCACCCAACTCGGTGACTACTCAGACATCATCATCGGTTTAAAAACTAGAAAGCAGTAAAGTAAAGAAAACAAAGTTGCAGAAAAAATTCTCTTATTGAAGACATTGTATGGTGATGAAAAGCTTCTCACATGCATAAAAGTAAAGCATAAAACTACAGTGAAGTTCTCTCTCAAAGAGATGAAAGAAGCTCTCTTACAAAAGACCTAAAAATGAGTATTTATAGTGTTTTCTCAAGTCTAGGCGTCTAGGACTTGTAAAATGAGTGCAGGAAGTGTCTTGTCCCTTAGTTGGGCTTCTGAGATTCAGAACATGGTTCACCGCGGTTGAGAGAGGCTGAGCCACAGTGTGCATTAGTGAACCTCTAAGAGGGATTCTTCAGATTTTAAAATTAGTATTTTTTGGATTTATGAACAGTGTAGAATCTGTGTTTGTTTTCGGCTTCCATTAATGAATTCCATTTACGGGTTCTTCAGAATAAAATAATATTTGTTTAAAAAAAAATTGAAAATTTCGTCTTGTTCTTAAATAAAAACTTTTTTTTCTTATATAAAAATAATTAATTCATTACATGGAATTTAAAACATACAAAATATAGATAACGAAATTGCAAAAGATTTAAATCTAATTTTGAGAGGTACCAAATTGGTTCCATATATTCTCCACTAAATCCGCTTTTAAACGTTCAGGTATTTGTTTATCACGGACTTGATTTCGAATGCCAATCATATTGGCAAGATTTGTAGGCATATATGTAGAATATGTCATACCAATTGTGAAGTTCTGCTTCCTTCTCCTTGTTCGAATTCTGATGTATCATACTGAGTGTAGCCATCTCGTTCGTTTTTAAGTGTTTTAAGTGTTTTCAGATACTTGAGTTTTATAAAGAAGAAGATTTCTTCGGATACTTAAGTTTTACTAACTAGATGACTTTTGTGTTTTTAAAATAAAAACTACCAAGCATTTATCACACCTATCAAGCATTGATCATATGACATTTACCTAACCAAAGCAACCTAGCATTGATCACAAAATAGATATTTATCACAAGCATTTACCACAAAGATTTCCTAACCGATTACTAACCTTGTCCTGCTAACTATGTATACTAAAAAAAAAGTTAGAAGAGGACTGACCTTAACTCGTTGAGACACAACTAATGGGAGGAGCTTTCACATGCAAGTATCCGTAGTTTCACCAATTTACCTCACAAAAAATAATGAAATGTGAGCATTGTTTGGGCAAATTTTAACCGGTTCGTACGTGAATAGTTCTACGAAATGACGGGAAGGAGTAAGCTTTTATTAATGATATGTTCATAATTTGCAACATTTAGGTTGTATATTTCATTCCAAATCATATCTTATTTCATGCATTTTAGGTCTTTAGGGTTTGTTTTAGGACTTAGGATTTGCATTAGGTCCCAATTAGTCTTTGCATGTTTTGAGTGTTTATCAGGTGTATTTGGAGCTATTTGGAATTGAAAAGGTGAATCGAGGAAGAGAAATGGTGATCAGGGCTTAAAAGATAGTGAAAATGGGGTTTGGAGGTTCTCGGCCATTCTCACGTACCGCAGGAAGGTTTTTCTCGGCAATTTGCACGTACGGCGGGTGGATTCCTCGGCCAAAACGCTTACCGGCTGGTTAAATTTCTCGGCCAAAATTCACGGGTGCAGACACATTTCCGAAATCGCCTGTCCGGGGAACCTTCCCGTCCGATTCAGCTGTCGAGTGATTCATCAAAGTTGGAGAAGATTGGATCATGGTTCCAGATCAAGTGGAATCATAAGATTTGGAGGCGTGAGCAGAGAGTTAAGCTCGTCGGAAGGAACTCCTGTCTCGCTGCCGCTTTGGACCGACCCGATGAGCTCTGAAGAATGCGAAGGACGATGCACTTCCAGACCGATTCATTTTACAGGGCCTTCATCAGAATCCGAGATATTTGAGTCCTCTTTCCAGAACGTCTGAGATCATTCAATTCGGAGCTATGAGCAACAAGATAACGTATCCGGAATGGACACATGTCTAGAAGCCTCTTTCTGATCGTGTCAATGCACTGCGAAGATGAACTCTCCAGGAAACCTTCCACTTCCCAAGCGCCGAAGGTTCCTTTACAAAATTTAAAGATATATGAGTCTTCTGTCCACTGAAACTGGAATCACACAATTCGGACCAGTACCCTAGAAGTTACGCTTCCCTGAATGTGAAGTGGTCCGAGGAGCCCTGAATGCTGCGAGATAGTCTTGCGACTTGGTTAACTCGCAACGCTTGAAGATAAATGCCTGGAGGTTGAGCTGCGAGTTGAGAAGTGCGGGTAAGCTATCACTGGATAAGGTCTGAGGCTTCCAAGCAAGAAAAATGCTAAGTCCACAACTGTGCGACTTAGGCATGCGAGTTGGCCGCGTTTGGAACTACACCGCATGAAGACTCGCAATCTACACCGACTTGAGGCTGCAACCTGGGAGTAATGGAGTCCAAGCCGCACACATCCCTGAAGGCCCCTGCTACATGGTCGTGCGAGTTAAGGATCAGAGAAGACTTAGCCGCGCAAAGACTCGCAAAACACATCTACTTGGGCGTGCGGCTGAGACTAAGTGACTTAAGGCTCACAAGACCGTTTCTTCACCTGTGCGACTTGGGCATGCTACCTGGGAGACTCTTGACCAACTTGCACATTCGTCACTTTACCCACTAAAGCCGGGTCAGGATCCGGTTTGTTCCGGGCTGACCCGGTTCGTTTTTAGAGACATATAAATAGTTTTTAGGGTTTTTTCCCAAAACTTATGCTTTATTCCCTTTGTCTCTTGCCTCTTTTGTGAAAAAGACTCCACTTAAGAAGAGAAATATCGATTTTTAAGTATTTAATCAAGAGAGTTTGAGAGATCTTGGTGTTTAAAGCTGTTCAGGTGAATGGGGAGTTGGCTGGCTATTTCCAGAGCTGTAGGGGTCTGCGACAGGGCTGTGCATTGTCTCCTTACTTATTTGTAATTTGTATGAACGTTCTCTCTAAGCTGCTGGATCGAGCTGCTGTAAATCATGACTTAGGATATCATCACAATTTTTCTAAGCAGCGACTTACTCGTCTTTGCTTCGCTGACGATATCATGGTTTTTTCGGATGGGAAAGAGAAATCGATTGAGGGGATTATTCTTGTTTTTGAATTGTTTGCTGCAATGTCTGGCCTGCGTATAAGTCTTGAGAAATCGACGATCTTCCTGGCTGGCATCTCGAACGCGCAACGTACCTCTATCATTAACAGATTCTCTCTTGAGAATGGGAACTTACCAGTTCGTTACCTTGGTTTACCTCTTATTGCTAAGAAAATGACAAAGGCGGATTACGCTCCTCTGGTGGAGAAGATAAAGACGTGCATTCGATCCTGGAAAATTTGCCACATCTCTTTTGCGGGTCGATTACAGCTTTTGGCATCGGTGATTTCTGGTATTCTGAATTTCTGGATGGCTGCTTTCCAACTCCCTAACAGCTGTATAAAGGAAGTTGAGTCTCTCTGTAGTGCTTTCCTTTGGTCGGGTCCAATACTCAATCCAAGGAAAGCAAAAGTCTCTTGGGAGGATGTTTGTAAGCCTAAAGTTGAGGGTGGCTTGGGATTACGATCTCTGCGTGAGGTGAATATGGTCTGCTCTCTCAAACTGGTATGGCGGTTTCTATTTAACATGCCTTCTTTGTGGGCCTCTTGGCTCAGGTGCCGCTACGTGAAGGGTAACTCTTTCTGGTCCTTACCTGAATCTCCCCCTCACAGCTCGTGGATATGGTGGAGAATGTTGAAAATAAGGATAGTTGCGCAACGCTTTTACTATATGGAGGTCAATAATGGTGAACGTACCTCTTTCTGGTTGGATAGATGGAGTTCATTGGGGAGGATTTTCGACATTACTGGCTCTCAAGGTTTCATCAGACTCGGCATTCCCAGTCATTACTCCCTGGATTTGGTCTGGAGAAGACGCAGACGAAAGTGCCATCGTTGTGATCGGCTAACTGATATTGAACGCGCCATAGAGACAGCAAAGGGCTCCCGTAGACCTCGAGCTGATCAATCACTTTGGCAAGGGATGAATGACATTTTTGGTCCGAACGTTTCGACTAAGGCAACATGGAACAACATCAGAACAGCTCTAACGCGCAAAGCTTGGAGCTATTTGGTGTGGTTTCAGAATGCCACACCGAAGTATGCATTCATTACTTGGCTGGCTATGCGCAAAAGACTCTCGACTGGTGAATGTATGACAGCCTAGGGTTCAGGTATAAATTGAAAATTTCTTCTTGTTCTTAAATAAAATTTTTTTTTCTTATATAAAAATAATTAATTCATTACATGGAATTTAAACCATACAAAATATAGATAACGAAATTGCAAAAGCTTTAAATCTAATCTTGAGAGGTACCAAATTGGTTCCATATATTCTCCACTAAATCCGCTTTTAAACATTAAGGTATTTGTTTATCACGGACTTGATTTCGAATGCCAATCATATTGGCAAGATTTGTAGGCATATATGTAGAATATGTCATACCAATTGTGAAGTTCTGCTTCCTTCTCCTTGTTCGAATTCTGATGTATCATATTGAGTGTAGCCATCTCGTTCGTTTTTAAGTGTTTTAAGTGTTTTCAGATACTTGAGTTTTATAAAGAAGAAGATTTCTTGTTGAGACACAACTAATGGGAGGAGCTTTCACACGCAAGTATTTGAGTTTCACCAATTTACCTCACAAAAAATAATGAAATGTGAGCATTGTTTGGGCAAATTTTAACCGGTTCGGACGTGAATAGTTCTACGGAATGACGGGAAGGAGTAAGCTTTTATTAATGATATGTTCATAATTTGCATCATTTTGGTTGTATATTTCATTCCAAATCATATCTTATTTCATGAATTTTAGGTCTTTAGGGTTTGTTTTAGGACTTAGGAGTTGCATTAGGTCCCAATGAGTCTTTGCATGTTTTGAGTGTTTATCAGGTGTATTTGGAGCTATTTGGAGTTGAAAAGGTGAATCCAGGAAGAGAAATGGTGATCAGGGCTTAAAAGATGGTGAAAATGGGTTTTGGAGGTTCTCGGCCATTCTCACGTATCGCAGGAAGGTTTTTCTCGGCAATTTGCACGTACCGCGGGTAGATTCCTCGGCCAAAACGCGTACCGGCTGGTTAAATTTCTCGGCCAAAATTCACGAGTGCATACACATTTTCGAAATCGCCTGTCCGGGGAACCTTCCGGTCCGATTCAGCTGTCGTGTGTTTCATCAAAGTTGGAGAAGATTGGATCATGGTTCCAGATCAAGTGGAATCATAAGATTTGGAGGCGTGAGCAGAGAGTTAAGCTCGTCGGAAGGAACTCCTGTCTCGCTGCCGCTTTGGACCGACCCGATGAGCTCCGAAGAATGCGAAGGACGATGCACTTCCAGACCGATTCAGTTTACAGGGCCTTCATCAGAATCCGAGATAATTGAGTCCTCTTTCCAGAACGTCTGAGATCATTCAATTCGGAGCTATGAGCAAGAAGATAACGTTTCCGGAATGGACACATGTCTAGAAGCCTCTTTCTGATCGTGTCAATGCACTGCGAAGATGAACCCTCCAGGAAACCTTCCACTTCCCAAGCGCCGAAGGTTCCTTCACAAACGTCAAAGATATATGAGTCTTCTGTCCACTGAAACTGGAATCACACAATTCGGACCAGTATCCTAGAAGTTACGCTTCCCTGAATATGAAGTGGTCCGAGGAGCCCTGAATGCTGCGAGATAGTCTTGCGACTTGGTTAACTTGCAACGCTTGAAGATAAATGCCTGGAGGTTGAGCTGCGAGTTGAGAAGTGCGGGTAAGCTATCACTCGATAAGGTCTGAGGCTTCCGAGCAAGAAAAATGCTAAGTCCACAACTGTGCGACTTAGGCATGCGAGTTGGCCGCGTTTGGAACTACACCGCACGAAGACTCGCAATCTACACCGACTTGAGGCTGCAACCTGGGAGTAATGGAGACCAAGCCGCACACATCCCTGAAGGCCCATGCTACATGGTCGTGCGAGTTAAGGATCAGAGAAGACTTAGCCGCGCAAAGACTCGCAAAACACATCTACTTGGGCGTGCGGCTGAGACTAAGTGACTTAAGGCTCACAAGACCGTTTCTTCACCTGTGCGACTTGGGCATGCTACCTGGGAGACTCTTGACCAACTCGCACATTCGTCACTTTACCCACTAAAGTCGGGTCAGGACCTGGTTTGTTCCGGGCTGACCCGGTTCGTTTTTAGAGACATATAAATAGTTTTTAGGGTTTTTTCCCAGAACTTATGCTTTATTCCCTTTGTCTCTTGCCTCTTTTGTGAAAAAGAATCCACTTAAGAAGAAAAATATCGATTTTTAAGTATTTAATCAAGAGAGTTTGAGAGATCTTGGTGTTTAAAGCTGTTTTCTTCTGAATCTATCATCTATCTCTTCATTCACACACTTCTAATCATGATTAACAACACATCTTGCAAAGGATCTAGTGTGTTGATCATGATTAGTGAGTAATCTCTATATTAAGGTCTTAGATATGTAGATTAGGGTGCTTAAGTGGTAGATTAGTGCGCTTAGAGGTTAGATCTTGCATATTCCATTCTCTACAATCTGTTCTTAATGCTAGATCCATACAAATCATATGTGGTCTAGATTCTGGGCATTTCATGCACCAAAAGTGTTTGAAGAAATGCCTGAACCAAGGTTGTTAGAGGTTTAAGTGTTATTCATCATGAGAATGATTGTTTATATGCTTAAATGACAGATTAAACTGATTTTTAATGCTTGTTAATTCATGTTTCACTAATGATGATTAGGTTAGAAACTGCTTTGGCATAGAAGTTGATACCTTCATGAGAGGATTAATTTAATTAATGATGTTTAAGTTGAATGGTTTGCTTGATCATATGGTTCATTAGCTCATTAGTTTATCACTGAAGGCACCCTAATCCACTATCATGTCTAAGACCTTTCTCATCATCATACATACATTCTCATCACTTGTCATTTGCTTAGTTCTTTGTTTGATCACTTCTTAGTCATTAATCTTGTTTTAAGTTTGTAGTTGTCATTAGTCAATCAAAGCCACACTTGCTTGCTTGAATTGAAAAACTGATCACATAGCTTAGTGTCTATCACCACATTCTTGGATTGATAACCTCTTTGTGCTACATTGACAAGAGGATTGATAGCCCTGAGATCAATAAAGTCTTATCTATCAATTGGCGCCGTTGCCAAATTTTAGAGTGTTTAGCATTAAGCTCTGATCTGTTCTTGAGATCAAGTGCTTATTTTTTTTTGTTTTTACTGATTACTTTCAAGTTCTGTTTGTGAATTCAGGTGCATGAACACCAGGTCCAGATCAAGAAGCTGTGGTCCACCTTTCCCCTTAAACGACAACATTAATCTTTTGGTACCAAGGAGGAGAAGGGACAGGCGTGGAAGACAGATTGATCAGGCTGATATGGAAGATCAAAGAGAGCATGTGGTGGACATAGAACAACCGGTTCAGGAGCAACAGGCTCAGGGTAATGGAGCTGGTAATGGAGTTGGTCAAGGGTTACATCAGGGTAATATTCATCAGGAACAAGTGCATCAACAGCAAGCTTATGTCCACCAGGGACAAGCTCAAGCTCAAGCTCATCAACAGAGGCGTCAGGCCAATGTACAGCAAAGACAACAGATGCACCACCAACATCAGCCCTTCCAACACCAGCAAAGGAGATATGAGCAACCACAGGTCTATGTTGGAGAGAATGACAGGGCCAATGCTCATCAGTATGGAGCTGGAATTCAGGCACCACCTGTGCAAAACAACAACTTTGAAGTGAAGGCATCCTTGTTGAATATGGTCCAGAACTCAAAGTTCCATGGATTAGCAATGGAAGATCCCTTGGAACACTTGGATCAATTTGATAAAGTGTGTGACCTGACAAAGATAAATGGAGTTTCTGAGGACAGTTTGAAGCTAAGATTATTCCCCTTCAGTCTTGGTGACCAAGCTCACCAATGGGAGAAGAATCTTCCAAGAGGCTCCATTCAAACCTGGGAGCAATGCAAGCAAGCCTTCTTATCTAAGTTCTTCGCCACCTCCAGAACTGCTAAACTAAGGAACCAAATCTCTAGCTTCACTCAGCACAGCAATGAGAGTTTTGGTGAAGCATATGAGAGATTCAGGAGCTACACCAACCAATGCCCACACCATGGGTTTAGTGAGGCTTCTATTCTCAGCACACTTTATAGAGGAGCTCTTCCCAAGATTAGAAACCAGCTGGATACTGTCTCCAATGGAAACTTTCTGGGAAAGGAGATTCATGCTGCTTTAGAGCTAGTGGAGAACTTAGCAATGAGCAATGTCACTTATGGAGAAGACTATGATAGATCAAATAGATCTGAAGGTTCAAGCTCAGAACAGAGGCTCATCAGAGAAGTTAAAGAGTGAATTGGACAAGTTGAAATTCACCACTCAAAAGCCAATGCACTTTGTAGGAGAATATGAGGAACCTTCTCAAATCTTTGAGAACATAAGTGAAGAAGGTCTAACCCAGGAGGAACTTAACTACATTGGGAATCAGAGGTTCCAGAGATATCAGTATGGCAATGCCAATCAGAACCTCTCTTACAGGAATCCCAATGTAGCTAACCCACAAGACCAGGTCTATCCCAATTCTCAAGCTCCAAAGAACTTTGTTCCCAATAACAACTTTCAAGGGTCATTTCAACCCAAGAATCAGTTTGCTCATAATCAGGGTTTTGGTCAGCAACAGCAACCATTTCAGGGTACTGGTTTCAGTTCACAACAGCAAAAGGCACCACCAGGGTTTGGTCCACCACAGTTCCAGCAGCAAGCGTCGGTTCAACAACAATTTCAGCCACCACCGGTTCAACAGCAGCCACAGATGGGTTCTGATATGGTTGGTATTCTGCAATAACTGCTTCAGGGTCAACAGATATTTGCAAGCCAGAATGCAGCCATGCAGCAGGAAATCAAGGAATTGAAGCAAAACCAGGCTTCAAGCTCAAGGAACCAGGGCCATCTACCTGGAAAACCTGAACCCAACCCCAAGGAATATGCTAAGGCCATTACACTGAGGAGTGGAAAGGAGTTACCTGGTATTGAGCAAAACAATGTGATCATTTAGGACAATGATCAAACTGAGGGGGAGGCAACCTTAAAAGATGATCAAGTTGCTGAGAGACCAAGGAAAGAAAAGAGTAAAGAGGTAGAAAGGGAATCTGAACCTG